AATAACTACAGAAAATCTTAGTGTAAATAAAAGTACAAACATTATGAGACTTTCTGACCCGTAAATAGTCTTACTTCATCAAATCACCACTTTATGCCCAACCAGGATATCGGCGTAGTCGATATTTGGAAGCCGATATCCGATCCAGCAAATTTTTCAGTGTCCCTAGTCCTCAAAGCTCTTTAAAGGTGCATTGTGTAACTTTTCTGGTGGAGGGTCTGTCAAATGGTTTTCTCTGTGGACATGGCTTTGTTTTGAATGATTGTTTTTTTTTTTTTCTTTTAATTAAAGACAACAGAATGTAACATTTAACAAATTACAATAATTAACATAAAAACAAAATAGAAAAATATAGAATAAAACAACAAAACCTGCACCACCACCCCATTTTTTACATTTTCTGTCACTTAACTCATATTATTTTCACTGTCATTTCCTTTCATCATCTTTTACTATTTATTATAATCTTAAAGCATAATTTTTTATTTTTTTTTAACTTAGTTTTTATTAAGTTTAAGATATCACAGCTTGTGCATTATGGTCAGTTACAAAGCCATTTACATATATGTTAAAATGGACAAATGCACAAGTATTAGTATTAGTATATAGAAAAACAAAACAAAAACATAATAATAATCATAAAAATAAGTACATAAATTCATAAAAAAAAGACATGCTAAGTTTGTTGGAATAAAAGAGCAAACATGGGACTCCATCTCTTAATGAAGAGCTCTCTGTTAAATCTCAAAGAATAAGTGATTTGCTCCATCCGATAAATCTCTCCCACCTTTTCAATCCATATATGATAAGTGGGCGAGTCAGGGCACAACCATTTAATAGTTATATATTTAAGTGCAGCAGTCAGTAAAATTCTTAAGAGGTATTTTTTATCGTTTCCTCCAAAACCTTCTGGGATTAACCCTAAAATGGCGAGCTGTGGTTCTCTAACAAATGATCGCTGAAATACTGTATTGAGAGCTGCCAAAACATCACTCCAGAACAGACCGATCTTTGGACAAGTCCAAAATCTGTGAGTATGACTTCCTAGGTAGGCACCACAGTTTCGCCAGCAGGTATCAGGATTTACAGGATTCATTTCAGCTGTGATCTCTGGTGTCCTGAAAAATCTTGTGATTATTTTCCATTTAAACTCCCTCCACAGACCAGAGTTTGTCACCACGTGTGCTTCAGTGCAAACATCTCCCCACTTATCTTAAAGGTTGTATAGAGGATTTTCCAAGGAACGAGAAATCCAGCGACTGTTTGTCCTTATTCAAATGTTGCGCATGCGTGAAACCACCCCCCTCCCCTACAGCTCCTACGTAGAAACGCCTCCTCCCGCCTCCTCTTTACACCAGAAACAGGTTTGTTTACAGCCGGTGCTGCACATGACTTGTAAACAACTAACTACAGTGTTGGTTAGGCAAGACTGAGAAGTGAGGAGCGGGGGGAGCGGGTGTGCGGACATTTCGTGCGTGGAGAAGTGAGGAGCAGGGAGAGAGGAGAGGAGAGGGGAGACGGGAGCGGTGCACGGAGATTCCGTGCCCGGAGAAGTGAGGAGCAGGGGGAAGAGTGGAACGGGCAGCGGGGAGAGGAGCAGGAAAGGGGTGCAGAGAAGGTTGCGCGGAGATTCAGTGCGAATGAACTAGCTACAACACACAGCAGCAAGCGGACTCTTTCTTTGCATTGAAAATGACGTTTTCAGACATAGGATATCGCTTTCGTGTCCTGAAAAACGTTTGTCTAGCTCTTGGAAATAAAGTACGTTTTCATAATAAGCAGAAGTTTCCTGTCCAGGAGTAATTTGTGGACCAGTGGTTCAGTCTTTAGACCCTGCGTCTGCTTCAGTTGCGCCATCGCTGGAATGAATCACCTTAGTTTGGCTTCGCTGCTTTTCCCCTTGTCTTCTTCTTTCAGCGACCTCAAAAACTGACTTTCTTTTGCGGCGAACTGCTCCTGGATTCTTGTAGGAGTATAGGTCAAAAAAAGCCGCTAAGAACTGCTGCGTTGGTGGAGTAAACAGCGTCTGTGCGTCTTGTGTCTGTGGACTGCGTGACAGTCGTACGTAAACCACGTACCGGCGGCGCGCAGGCAAGTCAGTTACACTAGAAACGTAGGGAGATTGATTGACAGCCTGTCAGCTAACAGATAACGAGGCAGTGTCGTTATCTATTGGTAAATGTTTAGCCCCACCACGTCCAGAGTTGATGAATTTTTATTCTCTTTTTTTTGGTCATCATAATTACAAGGCTACTGCACCTCTATAATCTATCATTGACAATTTGAAACAAAACAAAATCCTCCATACAACCTTTAAAGCATATTTTTAAAGGCATTTTTCTTTTTTTTTTCTTTTTTTTTAATCTGGGATGTTTCACAGTATGGTATTAAACTCTTCTTCATGGAGACCAAACCAGACCAAGCTACAGGTCAGATCTGTGGAGAGGTGACCCCGCACACAGTCAGAATACTTTTCTTTCTAGGTATTTTTGAGAATTTAATACATGTAATAGCTGTTTAATGTCGCACCGTGGAACATTTCAGGCAGAGCAATGACATATTTATAGAAACAAGCAGGTGAGGGACTCCCAACCAAAAAGTTACACAGTGCACCTTTAAAATGTTCTTTTCTCTGGACGATTATTGCTCCATTAAATATAAGCCTTCTCGTTATGTTAACAGCTTCCGCCCACAAGCTGTTATAAGCTTCAACAATACAGTTTGAACTTTGATGTGGATCCATAATATTTTTTTTTAGCTACTTAATCTTTTGAACCTTGTTTGTTTCACGGAGCCAATATGACGTCTGTAATGATTGTTTGTTTATGTGGTTGTTTTTAATGTCTCATGGTGCACTTTGGGCTATATTTTGCGCACATATTTTCCAATGTGGTTTTTAATTACCAATGGCAAATAAACAAACTTAACCTAAGTTTCATTGTTGTCGACCAATCACATCACAGGGGCAGAGTTTAGAGGCATTTAATAAAAGTCTGCCACTGGATATGACAGGGTGGCCTGATTCACTTCGTACAAACCGTCTGACCTCGCAGTGTTAGAATTCACTCGCTCAAAGGTAGGAGAGTACTTTTTTTTATTTAACCAACCACTGCTCTTTGGTCGTGACGTATGTAATGCGCCGCTAACGGGGCTAACTGGTATATTAAGCTTTTCCCAAATCCCGTAGGAAGAAGGACAATAACGTCTTTCCCTTTGATAAAATTCACCAAACATTCTTTATTTCAGCTTTAAATCCTCGATCTTGGGAATCGTTGCAAACACAGAATGTATGGCTCTTCGCTGATTGGCTGTTGCCCAAACTTGCACTTCAGGGGTTTTTGCGAATCATCTAGTGCTGGGGTGTCCAACCTTTTTTCCTCTAGGGCCACATTTCTAAACACAGACAAAGCAGAGGGCTGATCGAGGGCCGTAGACTGGTGCTCAGTGCAGTGAATAATTGAAAAATGTGTTTGTTTATCACATTAGAATGAGCCATCAATCTTTATTCATGCTAAGATCTTTAAAACCACACACTAAATATTAAATATTTGCTTTAGCAAGGCAGATTTTCAAAAAACTTGCAGTAAAAAGCAAATTTTTAATTGATGTAAGGTCATTTGGGCCAAGTCACCTGGAAGTCTGAGGGCCAAGAAAAATTTGGCCCATGGGCCTGAATTTTTGAACTCTGAATTTCATAGTTTGAACATGGTTGTTTTAGCGTATTCTGATTCCTGACCTAGTCGGAGAGAAATGAAATTGAGTGGAGGCACTAGGTGGTACCAGCCTGACTAAGGAAAGGGCCACTAAACACCAAAATCACTTTTTTCTACTGATTACCTGTGTTAATGTGTCTAAACTAGAAATGTATGCATATCGCTGAACTAATTTTAGTGCATATTTGTTAAAAATCGTACTTTTGGGTTAAAAGCCATGTCTGTAACGGCCTCTTTAGGGCCAACTATTCATTCATTCAGCATTCATGGTCCTGTTGAGATGTTTGTTTTTCAATAAAGAGGTGAACGTGACTACTGTATTTTCCGCACCATAGGGCACGCACATAAGCCTCCAACCCCATCAAAAAACAACCGCGCGCCCCACAATTCAGAGCGCACTATACACGAATCCACTCAGGTGTCCCAGCACGACTTCAGTAAACTACAAAGCCGCACCACCCGCAGAACACACGCAAACACACACGGAGCAGACAGCGACCGCAAGGCGAAAATCACCCACAGACACACTCATCACTCCACGCCGACGAGGAACGGAGGAACGAACCGAAAAAGCGAGTGCAATGTGCCGCTTCTAGACACGACTGAACAACTGAGTCACTGCGAACACGCCGACAATCCAGCGATCCCAGACAGCACCTCCCTACACGCCACAACTGAACAAAGCCCAGAGTCACCGTGAACGCCACAAACAAACAAAACCACTCACCCATCACACTGTTGTGTTTCTTTTAAAGTCCAGTGTGGTTTATTTGTGAAAAAAGTTTGAAAATAGACCATTAGTGCGTTATAATCCAGAGCGCCCAATGATTGTAACTTTATGTTAGAGGGACTTAACAGCACAAATCATCTCACCTGTTGTAGTTCCAGTTTAAACCAGCTCTTCGTGGTCAGACTGTGTCAAAATAAAACTCAGATTAAAGTCTAAATTGAGTAACGGAGCTTCAGACAGAGCAGTGCCTTCAATTAGCGTCACAATCCCCGAGAAATCAGCTGCAAATGAATAAAAACAATCCGCTACACGTTATAATACACAATGCAGCTTTCTATGTTTATGTTTTATGCATGTCTGTACAAATCTTGACATTAACCTTACAAACTTAATTCAATTGACTTCAAAACAGATCCATCAACCGGGGCATCTGATCTAATTTACCCGGAAACAGGATAACAATTACATGCCCAATTGCACATACATGTAAATTACCCCGTTATTATATTATTACGTATGTGAGATGTGTAACTTTGGACTGTCTCTCTCTGACGCAGGGCAATAAGCAAGATAAACTCCCACGGAACCAGGGACTCGGCGAAAAGGTTCCACAAAATGAGGAGCGAGTGGAAGATGGCCAAAATCGCCCTGATCGTCATTCTGCTGTTCGTGATCTCGTGGGCCCCGTACTCCTGCACGGCCCTCACCGCCTTTGCTGGGTACGTGATTTCACGACGGGGAATGTGCGACGGTTTGACGATGTGTTTAAAGAGCGGGTATTACGTCAAATTTGTGTTTGTTTTCTCGGGTTTTTGAGCCTCGGCGAAAACATGTTTGCAGGAGAGAGACGGGAGAATAGAGAGGAGAGAGACAGAAGAAGAGAGAAAGAGATAAGAGAGGAGAGAGAGACAAGAGAGAGAAACGAGGGAGACAGGAGAGTAAGGAGAGAAAGACGGGAGGAGAGAGAGGAGAGACAGAGAGGAGAGAGACGGGAAAAACAAAAGAAGAGACAGACAGAAGAAGAGAGAGACTGAAAAGGAGAGAAAGAGGAGAGGAGAGAGGCAGGAGAAACAAAAGAAGAAAGAGACAAGAGAGAAAAGACAGGAGAGGAAAGAGAGAGTCAGGAGAATAGAGAGGAGAGAGACAGAAGAAGAGAGAAAGAGATAAGAGAGGAGAGAGAGACAAGAGAGAGAAACGAGGGAGACAGGAGAGTAATGAGAGAAAGACGGGAGGAGAGAGAAGGAGAGAGACAGGAGGATAGAGAGGAGAGAGACAGAGAGGAGAGAGACGGGAGAACAGAGAAAGAAATAAGAGAGGAGAGAGAAAGGTGAGAGACAGGAGAATAGAGAGGAGAGACAGAGAGGAGAGAGACGGGAAAAACAAAAGAAGAGACAGACAGAAGAAGAGAGAGACTGAAAAGGAGAGAAAGAGGAGAGGAGAGAGGCAGGAGAAACAAAAGAAGAAAGAGACAAGAGAGAAAAGACAGGAGAGGAAAGAGAGAGTCAGGAGAATAGAGAGGAGAGAGACAGGAGAAGAGAGAAAGAGATAAGAGAGAGAGAGAGACAAGAGAGAGAAACGAGGGAGACAGGAGAGTAATGAGAGAAAGACGGGAGGAGAGAGAAAGGCAAGAGACAGAGAGGAGAGAGACGGGAAAAACAAAAGAAGAGACAGACAGAAGAAGAGAGAGACTGAAAAGGAGAGAAAGAGGAGAGGAGAGAGGCAGGAGAAACAAAAGAAGAAAGAGACAAGAGAGAAAAGACAGGAGAGGAAAGAGAGAGTCAGGAGAATAGAGAGGAGAGAGAAAGGAAAAGACAGGGACAGGAGAAACAAAAGAAGAGAGACAGAAGACGATAGATGCAGAAGAAAAGAGAGGAGAGAGAGACAGAGAGAGAGAGACAGGAGAGGAGACGGAGAGAGAGAGGGGCAGAAGAGGGACAGGCGAAGAGAGAGACAGGAGAAACAAAAGAAGAGAGAGATGAAGAGGAGAGAAAGAGACAAGAGGAGAGAGACAGGAGAGTTAAGAGAGAGATAGGAGCAAAGAGAGGAGAGACAGGAGAAACAAAAGAAGAAAGACAGATGAAGAGAGAAACAGAAGAGAAAGAGACAAGAGGGGAGGAGAGGGACAGGCGAAGAGAGCGACAGGAGAAACAAAAGAAGAGGTAGACAGAAGAAGAGAGAGACATAAGAGGAGAGAGAGAGAGACAGGACAGGAGAGAGACAGGTGAGAGAAACAAAAGAAGAGACAGACAGAAGAGGACAGAGACAGAAGACGAGAGAAAGAGACAGCAGAGAAGAGAGAGAGAAACAGAAAGAGAAGACAGGCAGAAGAGAGAGACAGAGGAGAGAGGACAGAAGAGGAGAGAGAGAGAGAAGAAGAGACAGGAGCGGAGAGAGAGACACAGGTGAAGAGAGAGACAGGAGAAACAAAAGAAGAGGCAGACAGAAGAAGAGAGAAACAGAGAGAGAGAGAGAGAGAGAGGAAAGAAACAGGGGAATTGAGAGGAGAGACAGAGAGAAGAGAGACAGGAGAAACAAAAGAAGAGAGAGACAGAAGAGAGATGAAGAGGAGAGGAGGAGAGAAGAGAGACAGGAGAAACAAAAGAAGAGAGAGACAGAAGAGAGATGAAGAGGAGCGAAAGAGACAAGAGAGAGAGAGAGAAAGAGACAAGAGAGAAGAGAGAAAGAGACAAGAGAGGAGAGAGACAGGAGAAACAAAAGAAGAGAGAGACAGAAGAAGAGAGAGATGAAGAGGAGAGAAAGAGACAAGAGAGAAGAGAGAAAGAGAGAAGAGAGAGAGAGAGAAGAAGAGAGAAAGAGACAAGAGAGAGAGAGAGAGAAAGAGACAAGAGAGAGAGAGAGAGAGAGAGACAAGAGAGGAGAGAGAGAAAGAGACAAGAGAGGAGAGAGAGAAAGAGACAAGAGAGGAGAGAGAGAAAGAGAGAGAGAGAGAGAAAGAGACAAGAGAGAGAGAGAGAGAGAGAGACAAGAGAGAGAGAGAGAGAGAAAGAGAGGAGAGAGAGAAAGAGACAAGAGAGAGAGAGAGAAAGAGACAAGAGAGGAGAGAGAGAGAGAGAGAGAGAGAGAGAGAGAGAGAGAGAGAGAGACAAGAGAGGAGAGAGAGAAAGAGACAAGAGAGGAGAGAGAGAGAGGAGACAAGAGAGGAGAGAGAGAAAGAGACAAGAGAGGAGAGAGAGAGAGAGACAAGAGAGGAGAGAGAGAAAGAGACAAGAGAGGAGAGAGACAGGAGAAACAAAAGAAGAGAGAGACAGAAGAAGAGAGAGAGAAGAGGAGAGAAAGAGACAAGAGAGAAGAGAGAGAAAGAGATGAGAGAGGAGAGAGAGAAAGAGACGAGAGAGGAGAGAGAGAAAGAGACAAGAGAGGAGAGAGACAGGAGAAACAAAAGAAGAAAGACAGAAGAAGAGAGAGACAGAAGAGGACAGAGACAGAAGAAGAGAGAAACAGAAGAGGAGAGAAAGAGAGGAGAGAGAGAGACAGAGAGGACAGGTGAAGAGAGAGACACAGGTGAAGAGAGAGACACAGGTGAAGAGAGAGACACAGGTGAAGAGAGAGACACAGGTGAAGAGAGAGACACAGGCGAAGAGAGAGACAGGTGAAGAGAGAGAGAAGAGAGAGACAGGGTGAGAGAGAGACAGCAAGAAGAGAGAGAGAGAAAGAAAGAAGAGACAGAAAAAGAGAAAGAAGAGGAAAGAGAGAGTGAGTGGATAGTGATTGTGTTGTTTATGATCTCGGGCTTCGTGCTCCTCACTGCTTTTGCTGAGTTTGTGATCTTATGACAGGGAATGTGTAACTATACGACGACGTGTTTAAAGAGCGGCTATTATGCAAAACTTTTTTTTTTTTTTTTTTTTTAGCTTTTTTGAGCCTCATCACAAACATGTCTGGAGAAGTTTCAGATGCTCAGGCCACAAGCTTGTGTCATCCACGCTCCCACACCGCAGCGCTCCGTAAATATACAAAAATATGATACAAAACTGTACACAGAAACTTGATAAACACGAGCAGGATGCACTCTTTCCTCGCTTCCTTCTCCTCGATTCCTCTCCTCGATTCTGCAGGAAATGTTTGAGGAAGTCCCACCCACAGACGGAGGAGACACGAGGAGGAAAGAGGATGCAAACGCTTCGCCGAGACCAATAAAGTTTCATTCTTTTCTCTGATGTCTGTGCTCCTGAAGACTCCCTCATGTTTGCTCCTTCCTTCCGAGGTTTTCTTTGGGACACCGCTCAATATGACACGTTTGATTGACAGCTGAGAAATGAAGGATCGAGGAGAGGAATCGAGGAGAAGGAAGCGAGGAAAGAGAAAGGGGAGCAAAGGAGGGGCATCAAAAAAGAAAATTAAACTCATAAAACATGTTAATCCGTTCGGCAATAAAAGGCAACATGGTCATCAAATACATTATGTGTTCGCTGTTAATACACCACAGAATTAAACTCCCACAGTCATGGACAGTGTTGGGACTAACGTTATAAAAGTTAATAAAAGTAACAATTTATTGTGATGCGTTGCTTTTTGCTGTAACGCAGTAATGTTCGGCATTACAGGGAAAAACATAGTACTATTTTACTCGGTACAAATGTCAGTAAAGAGCATCACTGTGCTTTTTTAACCTGGATTGAAGTGGTGGGTTTTTCGTTTTTCTTCATACAAACTCGCGGTGATATCAGCAGCGGTGAAACGCCGGAGACGCGACCACGTAGACCGTCGGGTGACCGCGAGCGAAAGGACCAGAACTTCCTGGTCCTGGTTCAGCTCTGGTTTAGTCCTGGTTTAGTCCTAGATTAGTCCTGGTTTAGTCCTGTTTTAGTCCCAGTTTAGTCCTATTTAGTCCTGATTTAGTCCTAGTTTAGTCGTAGTTTAGTCCTGGTTTAGTCCTAGTTTAGTCCTGGTTTAGTGCTGTTTTAGTCCTAGTTTAGTCCTGGTTTAGTCCTGGTTTAGTCCTGGTTTAGTCCTAGTTTAGTCCTGGTTTAGTCCTGGTTTAGTCCTAGTTTAGCCTAGTTTAGTCCTGTTTAGTCCTGGTTTAGTCCTGGTTTAGTCCTGGTTTAGTCCTGGTTTAGTCCTAGTTTAGTCCTGGTTTAGTACTGTTTTAGCCCTAGTTTAGACCTAGTTTAGTCCTGGTTTAGTCCTGGTTTAGTCTGTTTTAGTCCTGGTTTAGTCCTGGTTTAGTCTGGTTTAGTCCTAGTTAGTCCTGGTTTAGTCCTGGTTCTAGTTTTAGTCCTGGTTTAGTACTGTTTTAGCCCTAGTTTAGTCCTGGTTTAGTCCTGGTTTAGTCCTAGTTTAGTCCTGGTTTAGTCCTAGTTTAGTCCTGGTTTAGTGCTGTTTTAGTCCCTAGTTTAGTCCTGGTTTAGTCCTGGTTTAGTCCTGGTTTAGTCCTAGTTTAGTCCTGGTTTAGTGCTGTTTTAGCCCTAGTTTAGTCCTGGTTTAGTCCTGGTTTAGTCCTGGTTTAGTCCTAGTTTAGTCCTGGTTTAGTCCTAGTTTAGTCCTGGTTTAGTCCTGGTTTAGTCCTGTTTAGTCCTGTTTAGTCCTGGTTTAGTCCTGGTTTAGTCCTCTGGTTTAGTCCTGGTTTAGTCCTAGTTTAGTCCTGGTTTAGTCCTGGTTTAGTCCCTGGTTTAGTCCTAGTTAGTCCTGGTTTAGTCCTGTTTAGTCCTGGTTTTAGTCCTGGTTTAGTCCTGGTTTAGTCCTGGTTTAGTCCTAGTTT